AGCAAAAGTGACACATTGTATGTACAATATACCTTTCATTGATAATTCTGAAGTACACTGTACCTGCGGAGTTGAATTAAATGGACAGTTTAGTCAACTTAGTCATTCCGTTTCATGAACGTTTAAATAGGGGATAGATTACTTATGGTCAGTGTACATGCACCAATGTCTATAATCAAGCTTTATTTCTTGGTCAGGCCAGTGATAATTATGTCCAGAGAATATCACTTAAACTATATGAGGTATCAACATGAAACTTCATTGGTAGATAGATCTCGATATGGAGAAGTGCATTATACAAGACCGTAACTCTCTTTTGCATAATTAGTCCTTTTGGAACTATCGTTTATTCAGGGAATTTCCATCAGTTCTACCGATCTACTAGTTGATAGATGACCGATCTATCTCTACAGTGCAAGTCCCTAGCTTTTCTGTATTCTCATTATATTTTGATATGTCCACGGTATGAAATGCGAGTATCTTTGTGAATAAAAATCTGATTTTGAGGTGACATTTTCCTGATTTTCATCAGATTGGCTCCACTACCATGGTGAGGTGACATTTTCCTATCATGGAGAAATTAAGTGAAATATATTTTGACAACACGTTTCTCTAGGTTGAACTAATTTCTATACAACAGCTGCATGGATGTTATAGGCAAATGTTTATTTTTCTATGAAACTCAACAGGTGACTTAGAATCGCAGTTAGGACTTTCAGATAGTTTTATCTGCAAGTTGTCTGTTTTTCAATGTCTAGCCGCACCAACATTAGGTCGTTTCTGTTCAAAGTGTCACTGATAGGACGTTTGTGTGCTTCAAGGAAAATGAAACGCCTAGGATTGATCCATTCAGACGAGGTATCGCCATAACAATTATCCAACACAAAGAGTGTTGGTCGTTTAGCTATTTTGAAATGAAGATTAGCCTTCACTCATCAACAATGAGATGATCCTAGTTTGGTCCACTGATAACACACCTTTGCTTTCTTTCAGCATGCCTCTTCAACTCCTATATTGGAGACTTTGCAAATGAGTCTCCTGAGCAGTTTGGAGCAAATCTCGTGATCCCTGTACACAGTATTTCAGTAACACCCTGACTTGCCTTTTTAACAAAATAGTGGATTCCTGATGGGTTGTATATATTTGTAATCAGGTTGTATTGGTGTGGCTTCTACTTTTGCTTTTATTAATGTTTCAGCATAGACCTCACTAGTCAGCTCTGTAGAGTGCAACTCTCTAAGGTATTCCTTCAACTTCTCCTTGGAGCACACAAGACACTTTCTCCTCCAAAACTGTTCTTCTTACACTGAAATATAACTAAATAGTTTTCTGTTTGTATAGCTCTCATTTTCCGTTTGTTTTTCTTTTTTTCTCTGTTCAGCGTTACACAGCCGGCGAAGATATTCTTAACTAGGTGCTACCACAGTTCAATTTTTTCATTCTCCAGTACCTCTGGAATATTCTAAACAGCACGCTTATGTGTTGTTCATTCGGGTATTTACAATTTGTTATAGACTAGAAGTTTGCTTTGTTCTTTCTCTACATCCACTTGTCTGCCCCACCCCCTCCCCATCCATCTTTCTAACCCAACACCCATCTTTCTGCCTCTACATCCACTTGTCTGCCCCCCTCCCCCCCCCCCCCCCCCCCCCCCCCCCCCCCCCCCCCACCAAATCCACCCCCCCCTCTACACCCCCCCCACCAAATCCATCCATCTAACTCTACACCCATCATTATGTCTCTACATCCACCTGTCTGCCTCTGCTTCCATCTTTCTGCCTCTACATCCATCTTTCTGTCTCTACATCCACTTTCTTCCTCTTCACCCATCAATCTGCCTCTTCACCCATCATTCTGTCTCTACATCCACCTGTCTGCCTCTGCTTCCATCTTTCTGCCTCTACATCCACTTTCTTCCTCTTCACCCATCAATCTGCCTCTAGCTACACCTGACTGCCTCTACATCCATCTTTCTGCATCTACATCCACCTTTCTGTCTCTACACCCATCTTTCTGTCTCTACACCCATCTTTCTGCCTCTACATCCATCTTACTGTCTCTACACCCATCACTCTGTCTCTACATCCATCTTTCTGCCTCTACACCCACCTTTCTGTCTCTACATCCACCTTTCTGCCTCTAAATCCACCTTTCTGCCTCTACACCCATCATTCTGCCCCCACATCCATCTTTGGCCACTTAACTTTTCATGGTCTTACGTCACTGACTGCTCCAACATCTTTTCATTACTTCTGTATGTTGTATCCTTTATTGCATAAAACTGAATTAGATATTGTTATACTGGTTGTGTTTGCATTATTTTTCTGCTCATTCTTGTTCCGTAAGACGAGTCTGTCGCTCACTTTCACGATCGGAAAGTTCGGAAATTGTTTCTCCGTCTCTTCTTCTGCGTTTACTTCGCGAATGAGGATGATCACTACATGTCTTGGTAATGCAAAAGCTCCGTTTTATATTGAAGGGAATCGCAATGCCAATATGCTTCTATTTTATCTCGTGGAAAAAGAAATCCTACTTCATTGGGCGGTAGTTTTCCATTAGGTATATGTAGAACTGGTTATTTGATTTTTGTGTTTATCATACTGTGGTCAGCAAGGATCATTTTGAGGAGAGATTTCCTTGTACAGTCGTAGTGATGAACACCATGTGGAAGACCCGTCCCATGCTGTCCAGGTCATTTTGGGATGAAGTACTCTGCCCAAGGTCACAACCACGACAGTATTGGAAAGTCTGTGGTCGCAGTTTCCTGGGAAATACGAGCTTTCCGGGTATATATTAAACCAGACATTTCGGATTTTCACCTGAAGATAAAGTCCGCTGCTAGACCAAGTTTCATTAACGTTGGGATTGGAAAAAGAAATAAGCTTCACACAATTTTGAAAATAAATTGCAGACCATGATAGAGCAAAGGCATTTTCAAAATTAGCAAATTATGTAGATTAATAAGTGGCGCTCAATGAATGGTTCCATGGAGCAGAGACGTGTATTATATATACGTCTCTGCATGGAGTGATACCATATCTGATCAAATGTTATTTCCACTGAATTGCCACTCCTGTATAACTAGTTAGCATTATAATAGCTCAGATTAGCTACATACTTTGCGCTTAGTGTAACAACGTATGTTAATTATATAAAACAATACCCAGGCTCTGATGAAAGTTTAGGGTCCTTTTATTGAGACTACAAATTACAGCATACACAGCTCATAGAAGTTTGTAACCGGAGTCCCGAGCGGCTTTCCACAAGCCAGATGTCACCAGTCTCAGAGTTGTGGCCGCTAACTGTCCGTGCTTAGACAGCCGCTTCTATTTATCCCTCTAACCACTGGCACTCAGCCAGCACTTCCTGGTCAGTGTCTAAAAATCTCTCTGGACGTTAAATTCCTCAAACAGCAAAACAAATACATCAAGGGTGTCATTTGCTTTGGAAGTAAACATTTTTTCATCGCTTGACTCATGATTTGTAAATACAGGTCAATTAACTTAACGACACAAATTTCCACAATTCCACTATCAGCATAACGCTTACCTAATCATATGTAATTTAAATGTACGTTCTTTATCATTTTTCAAAACAATTTGTTGAGCATTGTTTTGTTACATCAACCAGGAGCGTAAAATAAAGATATAGTATCCTTTTCACTGCCACAGAAAATTTCCAAGTTGCCAACGTTTTGAATCAATGACGTTGGATTTTGACGTCACGCTTAAAAATTACGTTTATTCACATGTCATGGAGCTTCGACGTCGTCAGAAATTATCACTTTTCTGTTGTGATTTTCAATTCACTGGCGATGATGTTTTACAGGAAGTGTTAACGGATCCTACACTTTTATGAGACTTTTTGTGTGAGAAACTGTTAAAATGTCAATATCGACACAAACGTTTTCAAAATAATTGGAAAAAGCGACATACAAATGAACAGAAAAGATATTAGGAAAAACGCACAAGTCTCAGTTTTGATAACAGGCTGTACGTGTTATATCTGCAAAATTAGAAAATTCAATTATTTACATGAACGCCTCATCATTCCCCATCGCTTACGTGTCGCTGTCTGTAGTAGCGGGATGGACACCACGATGTCATACTATACGTAATTCGTGAACGATGTCTTATCTTAATAACACGGCAAACAACGCAGACATTTTCTCGTCGACCTGACAAGAAAAGTCATCACCTGATTATTCCATCCTTCAAGATCACGCATGTAGAGAGCTCTAATTATATCTAGGGTAAAACCAGTTCTGTATTATTGTCACATAACAAACATGGAAAATACAAGAGGAAATTTGCATTCAACTTTCATTTGTAAACCTACAATTGCTATATAAGTAGGGCACAGGGACCTCATAACTGGTGACGTATTGGGGTATTTGAAAAACCTTAGTGTACTATGTGTACCGAGAATTTCATGGACTTAAATTAGTATTACAGTTTTACGTCTAACGATTATTACAAATGCATTATGTTTTGTGGTCCCTGACTTAGCCTGAGATATTTTACAGAGACCTATATGCCTCGTCAACTTGTATATTGGCTTAAATCTAACCGTTTTAGTAAATTAAGCACCGTGGATTTTTTTAGTTGACCTTAGCTTATATATTGATAAAAATAATATGCTTTAGTTAAATGAATTTTGATATTGGCGATTGTTTGAGCTAAACATTTTCTTAGACTTATTTTTGCGGATATTTAATACCGTTTATCGTTTTTAACTTTATAATTAACATAGAAAATAATATTATGAATTTTTTATTTCGAAAATAGTTCATTGTTATGGTCATCTTCTGTTAATCAAATCTGATATAAAAGCGTAGTTGCTTATCTATTATATTTTCAAACAACAAATGAATAAAATCCAATGAAAGTCTGTTTTACTTCCTCATTGATGAACAGTGACCAATCAGAAAGTCCGACACGAATTTCAAACATCGAATACGGGAAATCGCACGGATTAGCACCAATGTTGACACACACATTTTAGCTAGTTCAAGCAGTTGCAGCCTAGGTATAGGGTTGTTCTTCACCTGTAGTGATCAACAGTGACAGTTCATCAGGTAATAGTTAAATATTACTAAACAAACCATCTACACTCGTGAAGATAAATATATTTGACATCGATTAAGATTCTCGATCATGCATGATCTTGTTCTAATGGCGGATGATCATGATATGTGTTTTGCATGAAGCACATTCAGGGCACCCAGATAAAATCTGTTTACGATAATTATTTTCTAATTTTCAGTCTGGTATAAGTGGCTAATTCATATATATGTCGGGTCGATAATATTGTCATCACTTTATCATGAAAGATGTAAATACATACATAGCAGAAAGTGGATGGCTATTCATTTTGATAACACTCCCCACTCAATATCTCGCCTCTTGCAAAGAAAAAAATGAAAGCAAGCATTTGGTAAAAGAAATGTCTAAAAGTGACAGCAGGGAATAAACGAATCGGAGTAGACAGAGAGATGTCCACCCACATGGAAACAGATCTTAAGCTTGCATGCAAGCTAATTAGAATTGGGATCTAGATCAACCTCTCTGACCCGAGTTCACTTGAAAATGTAGTTAATCCTACTGATATCATAATTTATTCTTGTACACAGATTTGGTTGGTTTCAACAAAATGGAGAATCCCAAAATAGAGTTCATACGTGAAACTAATTGTTCTGTCAATATAATGCTAAAGGTGTCCTTTTAACAATAACTACTTCAAAAACAGACGATTATGAAATTAAAATGGGCATATCTATAAATTCAAATTTTCATATAATCTTTATTAGAGCTATGTCTACTGTATCAGGCTTCATACAGGCCTTGAAAAGCTCTTTAAACAATTCCTAGTCTTGAAAAGCCTTGGAAATGACATTAAAGTCTTAGAGGGCCTTAAATTTCATATAGAGAGGCCATGACTTTCGGAAATGAGCTTGAATTTCATGGAATTTGTATTAGATATAGTTTCCGTATGAATTTCCTTTGTGTTTTGTTGGTTTTTCGTCCTTTATAAGTTAATTTTGATTTTATTTCCAATGAAACTGACATTCACTGATACTGATCATAAACAAAATAAGGTTTGACAGCTGCTTCATGTCAGCAGTTTCATGACCTATTGTCAGCTGACCAGAAATGTTTGCATTTGTGGTGATGTTAATTTGTCTTTATGTTGATTTTAGAGAAAAGTTTCTATATATAACATTTGCCAACTTGCATGGATCATGCAATGTCTGCAACATCTTGGAACTTTGTTTATCCACACTGATGGTATCTGGCAGCTTTCAGAGGTGAAATCATGATACAATTCATGTAAACACTCACAATTTTATTGAAACTATGGCAAACATAATTAGCTCTAGCATTTCAACTGAACATGTCCTCTGAGGCTGTCACCCACTTGTGAGATATCCTTGGATTTTCATCAAAATTTCATATTGATTATATGCATAATCACTTTATTGAATTAATGAATATTGTTGTGTGAGACATTCTTACAATTTTCATGGGGGATGCATTTCAAGAATCCTAAAAACTTTACTTGGGATATCCTTAATGAGTTAGTATAAAAGCTAATGGTCTGCTTATTATGAATTGACATTGTCAGTAAACCAGAATTTTTACCATTTAACTTCTAGTAAAATCTGAAATTGCTTTTCTCTGTGTTTTATAGGATGGCTGCAGAGCCTGGCCGAGTACTGAAACCTGTCAACAGTTCTAGTGGTCCAGATCTCACTGCTGCAGTCAAACCAAGTACAAGTGGTGGAGCCAAGACCAAGGAGAAAACTCAAACTACATCTGTGACGGAAGCAGCAAGGTGAAAGAAATTCTCTCAAAAATTCTCAAAATAATGGTTGTCTAGGTTTAACATTTTGTTGACCAGGGCAGTGATGAATCGACAGTATATATTCGTGAGCCCTTTTCAACTACGATGAAACTTCTTCAAACTGACCATGTATGGGACATGAATATTGGGCCAGTTTAGAGAGGGTTCAGTTTGTGGAAGTGAAGCAAGTTGACCGGTCCTGACTTTAATATAATTTTAACAATTCCATTCACATTCAGCATTTACATTGCAACTTTATAGTGATAATTGTATACTACATTTGGCCTTCGTAGAAATGAAATCTGCTCATTGCCTGGCAATCTCAAAGTAATGTTACTTAAGGAGCAACAAAGCCCTGGTCGGAGGTTGGCTTATCCGAAAGTCTAACCAACCTATATATTTAACGAATATATATTTTTGCTAATCAGTAAGAAAAGTTGTCCTCTGAAATAACACTTGATTAATATTTTCATTCTGTATGTGTTAAAATAACATCATTTAATTAGCCACAATTTAGATGATAAACTGCAGTTTTCTAACTCTGCATCAGTACTTATTTTCAATTTATCTGTGTTCCTTGCTTTGGTGAAGTGATTTTCAATTTGTTTCAATCATTTCGGACATAAAATTGGTTCAGTATTCAGGGCTCTCTATCTGCCAGATTTGGAGCCGATATTCGGCCCCATTCCCAATGCAAAATAGTATCTTTTTTTCCCAATTCAGACCCCAAGTTTTCCCAATTCTAAGGAAAACACCATTATTTTCCCCAATTCTAAGGCCCCCGGGCCCCAGTCCAAAATGGGGTGTGAGAGCCCTGGTATTGAGAGGTATCGATATTGGGAAAGTCTTTATTACTATGATAAAGAGGTCATCATTCCATACATGGCTATTGTGTTTGGTATCAAGAGGTGATTTGTTTTGTGAAGTTTAGGGAGGTTGCACTGTATATTGCTAAAAACACTGGACCTCACAATGATAGTTTGAATTTGAATTCCAGTTATCATTCTATTCCCATCAAAATTTTAGAGCACAGGAATTAGGACTGGCATATATATTTATCACTGCCAAGGAATTCCTCACTTTATGTTTTACATATTTGCACTTGTGTTTTTGTACATTTAAGGAGAGAAACAACAAAGTACAAAATTTTAATCAAATTACAAGTCTTCCGTTAAAATATAGTTTCACAATACTTATGGACATGTTTTCCCTAAAAGGAGATATGTACTGTGTACTAAAGACTGTATAAGACACTTTTTTATTCAATATTGTTTATATGAAACAGATGTTACAGTGAAGAAAATGTTTTCTTTTTCCAAAATTTGGTATTAACAAATTTGTTGCAGATTCATATTGGAATATGCTGTCAGAATTTGTTGTGAAATAAACAAAACAGTTAATAATTAAACAACATGGGAAACCAAAACTGTCAGCCAATGATATAATGGGACTTAACATCCACAGCTTATAGTTAGAAGGAATTGGCTGCACATGTGTTGAAGAACTGTTACTTTATTTTGAACAATATATTGCCCTTTAGAAGTAATGATGGATAAAAAGTCTTTGTATTAGCTAAAAAGCGAAGAGTTGCCAAATGATTCTTGACTAATTTGAGAAGGTTTCTAATGCCTTTAGATAAAGGCCACCTAATCAGATATAGTTTCTGAGAATGGAACTTCAAACTGTTATTAGTTTCTGTGATCAGAAGTCTAAATTGTAATACTGCAATCAACAGATATCAGTGTATTCTTTTTCTAATTTCAGGAAAAAATGGACTTTGGAAGACTTTGATATAGGAAGACCATTGGGTAAAGGAAAGTTTGGGAATGTATATCTGGCCAGAGAGAAATCGACTAAATATGTTGTTGCACTTAAGGTGAGACCAACCTTCCATTCCGTTATGGCATATTTAATACCTTCATTCTTTAAAAAGAATAGTGAAATATTCTGAATGTCATGTGTTTTCATACCCTCATATGACATTGGTATCCCCACGTTTTCTGTTAAGTTTAACAGTGAATCCCTATGGTGGTGTAATCCTTCCATACCTTCTGTGAATCCCTATGGTGGTGTAATCCTTCCATACCTTCAGTGAATCCCTATGGTGGTGTAATCCTTCCATACCTTCAGTGAATCCCTACGGTGGTGTAATCCTTCCATACCTTCAGTGAATCCCTATGGTGGTGTAATCCTTCCATACCTTCAGTG